CTGGGTTTTTTTCTCCCATTAGGAAACTCAAGGAATCTAGGTGTTAGATTTCTTCAGTACTAGACATAAAGAGGATGGGGTGGGGGGGGTGTTCAGTGGCATTCAAAAACCAGAATGAGGAGTTGATGAAGAAACTGAACCTTGTGCCAGTAGTTGTAAAAATGCAATACCAGTCATTGTATTTTTGCATCCACAAAAGCTAGAAGCAGAAATGTATTTTTAAACAAAACAAAATAGGTAAGGGTCATTTATATTGTTGCTATTATTCAACTGGGTCTAACTCTTAGTGACTCCATTTGGGGTTTTCTTGGCAAAGATAATGGTTTGCCATTTCTTTCTCTAGCTCATTTTACAGATGAGGAAACTGAGGCAAACAGGGTTAAGTGACTTGCCCAGGGTCACACAGCTAGTGTCTGAGGCCAGATTTGAATTCAGATCTACTTGACCCCAGGCCTTGTGTCACCTAGCTGCCCTGTGATTTATATTACATCCTCAGTTAATGAAAGAGACAGGTAGGTGCACAAGATCTCTTCAAAGTGTAGGATACACAGATAAGATGGGCAAATTAAACCCTTATTTAATACCATATTCTTCATTCACTGATGTCTTTTCTTTTTTTTTTTTTTTGGTTAGGCAATGGGGTTAAGTGATTTGCCCAGAGTCACACAGCTAGGGAGTGTTTTGTGTCTAAGGCCAGATTTGAACTCAGGCCCTCCTGAATCCAGGGCCAGTACTCTATCCACTGCACCATCTAGCTGCCCCCACATTCTTCATTCAGAGAAAGACACATGCTTTGTAGAAATAGAGGAAACCTAGCAAAGAAACAAGATGGAGCAGTGGATAAAGACCTGGTCAGGATGACTTGACCATCCCACCGCTGCCACAGACTGGCTGTGTGACCCTGGGAAGTTTGCCTAACTTCTTAATGACCCAAGCAACTCTCTAACACAATAAATTTTAGAATAGTTGACCAGAGAGACCCCTCTACTAGATGAAATCACAAGTCAGATGTAGACGACCCTGCTCTCCCCATCTCTTTCCTTAATATGTATTACACTCCTCTAGAGGAGGAAGAAGGTTATCTGCAGTACTATTTGAATCTCATTAGAGCTTCTGGCACTAAGGAACAGTCAATAGATACTGGTTAACCTCTCATAAATAAGAGTGAACCAACCTGAAGAATGACTTCTCATTAACCATTTTGAGGTACCCACGCAGAGGAGTGGTGTTCTAGAGATTCTTGTTGCGATATTATATTTAATTATTAATGAAGTATAATGGAAAGAGACTGGATCTGACATCAGAAAACCTTGGCTTGGACACCAACTGGTTTGTGGTCACTGCTATTACTTCATCTGAATCTCATCTACAAAATCTGGCATGCAGGGGAGGGGCAATGTTGGACTAGGTGATTTATAAGGTCCCTTCTAGCTCTAAGGTTCCATGATTGTGTCCTCATGGAAGGTTCCAATGTCCTTTGCAAGTTGTTTGTTTTGCATCATGGTGTTTGACAGCAAGAGGCTTTGATGAAATGGAAGAGTGACTTAAGAGCATCCCCTGGTGGTCAACGTTTGTAATAAGGCATCCTTAGAGTAGCTTAAACATGCAAGAATCCATGAAACTGAGCATGGCTCAGAGGACAGTGAAGAAGAACGTGGTGGGTGGGAGTGGGTTACAACACAACCAATGAGGAGCTTTGAAGAAGAATTGGAATAAGTGATATCACCAGGGAAATGGGTGATTGAGAGAAAAAAAAGAGATAAACATGGAAAGTGGGGTAACTCTGGGTGTTCCAGGCAACTTTCTAAAACTATGAGTTGTGGAGAAGGTGTCAACCAACACCAGTAAAGAGAGTTTCCTCCACTGAGAGTTCCTGCGTCAATAAAATCAGGTCCAAAACAAATTACTTAACAGATATCATCCATTACTAAATCTGTCAGTATGAAAATAGGGAGGCTTTGTGTTCACTTGGTATTTTAACTTTTTCATATCTCTTCTGTTTCTTTAATACATGAGAGAAAAATGTTTTAAAAAATGGTTAGATTCCCATGCCAGATAGGGCAAATACTTTCTTTAAAAGGTGCCTTCTCCTGTGAGTAGTGGATTCCCCTTTACTACACATCTTCAAGCCTAGGCTGCAGACACTTAATCAGGAGTGTAGTAGAGGGGATTTTTGACCAGGTAGGGTCTGGCTAGACTTTATGGTCCATGAGAGTTCCTTCTAATTCTGAGGTTCCATATTTCTGTGATTGTCTTCAATATCCAGGGGATTAAAACAAAATGGGAAGATGAAGCTCTTCCCTTTTTTATACTCTTTATGTAGGGTCAAAAGAAATCAGACAAAATAAAGTTAACAAGGGATAGATAATAGGAATAGCAGTGGACATGGAGTCAGAAGAGACATCAGTTCTAATTCCCACCTCAGACACTCACTAGATGTGTGAGCATGGCCAAGTCACTAAATATCATTGAACCTCAGTTTCCTTATCTGTGAAATGGGAACAATAATACCTCTAATACCTACCTCACTAGATTGTTGTGAGTCTCAAAAAGGGTAATGGATAAAAATATCAACTATTATTAAAGGTGAAAGAATCTACCATTCCAGCATGGTGAGTCATAGAAGATTGAGGGAGGGGGTAAATTTTATTTTATTGATATCTTTTATTTTTGCTTTATCTCTCTTTCCCCATGTATCCTTCTCTACTCAACTTCCTGTATAACAAAGAATAAAAAGGGAGGGGGAGAAGGGAGGGGAATCAGCAAAACTAGTCAACACATCCAAAAAATCTGTTTCACAGCTGTGGACTCACAGGTCTACAAAGGACCAGGGGGAGGTGTGTCTTGTCATATCTCTCCTTTGGTGTCAAACTTGTTCTTTATAATATCACATTATTGCATTTTGATTCTTTTGCAGTTGTTGTTTTTCCATTTACATTGTTGTGCCCATTGTGTCTATTGTTTTTCTGGTTCTGCTCACTTCTCTTTGCATCCATTCATACAAACCTTCCCATGTTTCTCTTTATTCAATAGGGAATAGAATTAATATAATTTCTAAAAACAGTTGTGTGTATCCCCACAGATCTTCTCTACTAAGCTTCCAGGTCTGTAGGAACAGGGACTGTATCATAGGAACTTAGATCTAGAGACAGAAACAATATCAAAGACTATCTAAATGCCATTCTCTCCCTCCATTTTACAGATAAAGAAACTAAGGCCTGGACTGATAAAGTGGCTACCCCAAGGTCACACAGGTAGTAAGGGTCAGAAACAGATTGTTCTACCTATACCATGCACATCCTCCTGCCTCCAAAATGGGATTGATTTTTATCATTGAATTGATTACAATTCAGTTGGGGAGGTTAGTTAAATATTTTCATGTTGGGTAAATGCAAACTTAGTGCCTGATGAATTTTTTCCCACTCCAAATCATAGATGATCCAGACTTTCACAGGGGCAAACTTGTTCCATGCATTTCATTGATTTTTTTTCTTTAACTACTGAACACTGTATTCAAATAGCTTGCTCACCATAGCCAACATAAGCAAGTCTCAGGGTAAAGGTATAATTTGTAGAATATAGGTAACTTTCAATGTTCACAGGAATTTTATGAGCCCTCTCTGTGAAGTCCTAACTATGAGAGTTGAACTGAGATGCATAAAGCAAACTGTCTGAACCAATTTTTTTTTTTTTGGTGAGGCAATCGGGGTTAAATGACTTGCCCAAGGTCACACAGCTGGTAAGTGTCAAGTTCCTCAGGTCCTCCTGACTCCAAGGCCAGAGCTCTCTATTCACTGCACCACCTAGCTGCCCCTGAACCAATTTCGATAAATTTGCTTTTGCCTTGAGGTTCTCTGTTCCAGGCATCTTTAACCCATGGCTTTATGAGACCACTGGGAAATGTTCACCAGAAGGGTATGCTAGCTTATTCAGTCAGTTAACCAGTCAGTTACTCAATCAATTACTCATTCATTCATTCAACATTTATTAAGTGACTGCTGTGTACAAGGAAGACATTGTACTGGCAGAGATAAAATGATACTCAGATGGATTTGTGGTCTCATTCCTTCAACCATGCAGATCACAATTCATCCCTGCCCGCCCATTTTGTGCAACTCTTGTCCATATCTATCTTTGCAACTCGTGAAACAAAGATAAAATGACAAATAAAACATCTGCTCTCAAAGAATTTACCCTCAGGAGGCTTAGTAGGATTGACAATATTAATGACTTTACAAAGATCTTTCCCCACATTAACCCTGGGAAATCAGTAGTTTAACACAGAAATTCTATGCTTCTGTGTCTGCCTTTAGTGTTCCAAAAAAGCACTTAAAAGAGAAATCTCATCTCCATCTGTGTTTACTGTGTTTACACAAAGCCAAATAAACCAGTTAAGAGAGAAAGAACAGAGGCAGGAGAGCCTAGGTTCTTACTGTATTATTATCTCTCTTTTAAAAATGAGGAGCCTAAAGCTTAGGTGACTTCTCATGAAGTTAGTGGCAGAGTTGAAAGAATCCTAGACCTGATGTTAGAAAAGACCTGTGTCCAAATGACACCTCCAACACTTACTAGCTGTGTGATCTAGCAAATTACTTAAGCTCTCTGAGCTTCAGTTTTCTCATCTGAAAAATAGAGATAATAATACCTGTACTACCTACCTTCCTGAATGGTTTGAGACTTAAATGGATGTCAGAATAAGGATTCAAAACTAGATCTTGCTAAGCCTAGCATTTGTTTCATTTCTCCACATGCAATGCCTCTCAAAATGGTTGCAAATAAATATAATGGAAGCTCAAATTAAACAAATGCAAAAGAGAAGCAGAAAAGCATGCACTGTTATGACCTCAGATGAAGGTAGTGCAGTGGATACAGCTCCATGCCTAGAGTCAGGAAGATCTGAGTTCAAATCCAACCTCAGACACTTGCAGTGTGATTGTGATCAAGTCACTTAGCCGTTTGCCTCAGTTTCCTCATTTGTGGTTGTTTGTCCTTTGTTCTAGAAGAGGACCATGACGTCAGGAAGGCGATACGATGACTTGCAAGTGATTTAGATTTAAGTGAGGGAGGGCTGTGCAAAGTCACCAGCCTCACTTTCTCCTCTGGAGCCATCTGCGTCCAGTGGCAAGACACAGATCAGGATGACTGGAGATGGGGTCCCCTCATCTGTAAAATGAGCTGGAGAAGGAAATGGCAAACCATTCCAGTATCTTTGCCAAGAAAACCACAAAATGGAATCACGAAAAGTTGGACACAACTGAAATCATTGGACAAAAACAACAACAATCAGAAAGTATCAAAAAGAGTACCGAATTAGGAGTCAGAGGAGCTAGAGTCAATCCAAGCTCCCCTACTTACTAACTTTAGACATAAAGCACTGGAATAAGTTCCCTCAGGTCCTTTTCAGATCTAAATCTATGACCTCATCATCCTCTGACTAGGTATTACCTGAAGTCCTTTACAGCAACAATTCTATGGTCCTGAATGTGGCAATGGCTCTATAGTACTCTAAAACTTGAAGTAGCTTCAATTTCCCCCTCCATGCAGATTTCTACTGAACAGGTATCAAAAGGATACGTCAAGCTGAACAGGAGTTTAGGAACGCTCAGCCTATTATTACAAGTACTTTAAACATTTCACACTTGTCCTCAAATTTATACATTTCCCAGCAACTACCAGGATGGAATGTTGCAGAGCACTGCCATCCTTGTTCATGAATCTCTCCACCTCTCCCAGCCACATGACACCCAGTCACCTCTGCTTTTGCTGATCCAATATTTAGCCTGTAATGATTTCTTGGCATCTGATAAATGATTCTACTTGTTTTCTACTTCCAAGTCACTTCCACCTACCATGCTGTTTTGGTGACTGACAGCCTATGATTTTAGGAATCCATGGTTCTTGCCAAAAATGTATTTTCACTGAGATGAAGAAAGATTTTACAAAGCAAATAAAAAATGAGAGGCTACTTACAAGATATCTCAATAATAATTAGAGCTTCTCTGAAACTCCTTCCATCCCATATGTGTGTATATGTATATATATAGATATATATGTACATGTATATATATATATACACATGATATATACATATATAAACACATACTATACAAACTTATCAGACCTGCAATATGTGCATAAATAAATATGTATGTATGTATACACCCACACCCCTCCCTATGCCTGGCATCTTCATGTGTATATGGAGGTTGGAAGGGGAGTGCAGCATGGCAGAGTAGAGAGCTGGTCTCAGAACCAGGAAGATCTGAGTTCAAGTGCCATTTCTAACACATGCTGGCTGTTTGACTGGGAAAATCATTTAACATTCAGTGCCCCAGACAACTCTCTAAGATGCTACATTGCAGAGCCAATGCTGATTTGTATTGATGGAAGGAGCCTTCAGTAGGAGTTCCTTTATCCCAGGCATGGCCAAATAAAGAAATGAGTGGATGGATGGATGGTTTAAAAATGTGTCCATGTTTATAAATGTTATTTGTAACATGCATTTGCATTGCAAACTATTATCTACCTGTATATATACATATATAAATATATATGAATTTGTAGCTATGTATGTACATACCTATACATACACATGTATGTACATAATAAATGTCAGAGGCAAGATTGGAACCCAGATCCTCTGATTCCAAAACTTCTTTCCACTTCCTCCTAAGGAACATAATTCTGTTTTGTTTGGTACAACCTGACCAAAAATATGTATGTGAATGTATGTGTATACCTATGTAAATACATGGTACGCATGTATGTGTTTGTGTGTACATGCATGCAAGTGTATGTCTCTCTACCCATGCAGCTATCTGGAAGAGGAAGTAATAAAACAACAACAACAAACCTCTTGTTTCATTAGTCACATCTGTTCTCCTGCTGCTTTTCCAGAATCTTTTGAAAGAAAGCATCTAAACATTTTTTTACAGAGAACTAGCACCCTCTGTAGGCCATCGTCTTAATGCCTGAGTATGGGAAATGGGGCAGATTTTATTGTATTAAAGGGGTAGGAAAAATAAAATTAAAATAAAGGGGCAGAGATAGAAGTTGGCACGTTAACTTCCAAAGTCCTTTACATTTTCATAATTATTTCTTCCTCACTACCCTCCCCTCCCCCCACTTACTTTTAATGGATTGGTATTTGTTACTTTATAGAATAATTCTTCATTTTGCTTGATTTCTTTTTTTTTATTGTAAATAGAGGTAATATTTTTCCCCAGCTGAAAAGAAGCTCTCCCTCTTCATATCCTTAGAATACTTTATCTGACTCTATCTGGTGTTCTCTGTTACAGGGTCCCCTTGTATCTATAAGAGGGGGATGGAGGTTGACCCTCCCTCTAATGAAGGTTTCCTCTTCAGCTTTGAGTTGCTCACAGTCTAACACAGGCCATACTCATTTGGGAACAGGTCATACTGCTGTACAAACAGCATGGACAGGAACCATGATATCCTCAGTATCTAGTAAAGTACATGGCATAGAGTTAAAATTTAATAACTATGTATTGTATTGTTGAATCAAATAAAGGATCATGGGATCATGGATTTGGAGCTGGAAAGAACCTTAGAGTCATCTAACTCAACATTCTCACTTTGCAGATAAGAAAACTGAGGCCAGAGAGATTACATACAAGGTAATAATACTAATACTAATAATAGATAAGTGTCAGAGGCAAGATTTGAACCCAGATCCTCTGACTCCAACACTTCTTTGCACTGCCTCCTAAGAAACATAATTCTGTTTTCATGTTTGTATAGCCTGACCCAAAAAAAATTTTTTTTTACCAGCACAGTGAAATGAGTTAATATATAATCAAGAAACTCAGGGCTGTTCAAAAATTTGATATGAACTACTTGGGGGGTAGGGTTCCCAATGAGACTGCTAGTACTAGAGTCAGGAAGACCTGCATTTAAATGTGGCCTCACACATTTAATGGCTGTATGACCTTGGGAAAATCACTTAACCTCTCTGCCTCAGTTTCCTCAACTGTAAAATAGGAAACTTATTTCAGTGGCAGGCTGAGAGGATCGGGTTTTTTTTCCATCTACAGTCACATGCTTAGTTTTCTCTCCTAGGCAAACAGACACTACAGAGTAACCCCAATTAAGTGTTTAGTTGTTAAGGTCCAACCGTCTTAAGGCAAATTGCTCAGGATTGAGTAATCCTGGTTTTGGTTTTTTCTTTAATTTTTATTGATATGTTTTATTTTTACATGTCATTGGTTTCTAAATCTGTCCTTTCTCCTCTCCTAGTCAGCAATCTACCCTTTTCAACAAAGAAAAAAAGAGGAGGGGAAAAGGGGGAAAAGAGGGATGTTTATCAACTCTCACCCGACAGCACGTGAAATATTCAGCACCTTCTCCCACCTCCACTTCCAGAAAAGGGAGGGAGGGAGGGAAGTACATTTTTTTCAACTTTCCTCTAGGATAACCTTGGTCATTATGATTGCAGTCAGTCCATTTACATTTATAAGTACGTATATGTGTCAGGTATGAGTAGCTAGGTGGTGTAGTAGATAGAGCACTGGGCCTGGAGTCAGGAAGACTCATCTTCCTGAGTTCAAATCTGGCCTCAGACACTTCCTAGCTGAAAACCCTGTTCGCCTCAGTTTTCGCCTCAGTTTCCTCATCTGTAAATGGCAAACCATTCCAGTATCTCTGCCAAGAAAACCCCGAAAGGGACCATGAAGAGTTGGAAATGACTGAACAATAGCACACTAATAAGCACGCTAATAACACAATTGAGGAAACAAAAAGCATTTATTAAGCACCTACGGTGTGTCAGGAACTAGGGATACACAACCAAAACAGATAGAGATTGAGGGTAGAGCTGTGATTTAATCGCTATAGAGAATTCTCAGAAGAGGAAACTCCCTTGTCAACACACCTGTAATCACAAATGTAAGTAGGAAGACAATTCCTGCTTTTGAGGAGATTTTTCTAGAGGGTTGGGGAGAGAAGGAAATACATGAAAGGAAGTTATGGGGATGGGGAGATTGAAAAACATCAGGTGTGCAGCTTGGAGAAGACAGAGGCTGCCTGGGCTGGGCTTTCTCCTTAAATGGAGGTTCTAAGAGGTACCATCCAATTGGAGGGAGAGGCTGCAGGTGTGGAAGACTTCTGATAGGTGGATTCTGGAGCTAGAGGGGAGCTTCAGGATGAAGAGCTGAGACATGATAGAGCAGGTCTGGGGTGTTGTGGAGAGGAAAAAGGTATGGCTATCAATATTCAGTTTCATTTGTCATTTCTGTTTGCATTGCTGCTGTCATTGCATGTGTCATTTTCTCGGTTCTGCTTATTTTACTCCTGTATCAGTTCATATAAGTCTTCTTTCCCCATGCATCTCTGAATTCTACATATTCATTACTTCTTACAGAGCAGTGATATTCCATGATATTTAGCCACCACAATTGGTCTAGTCTTTCCCCAGTCAATGGGGCAGGAAAAGACCTTGGAGGTCATCCAGTACAATTCATCCCAGAATAAGAAATCTTTTCGTGTAGTTCCAACAAGTAGCAGTGCTTGAACACCTCTTGGGTAGAAGAAATAAGTATTTCCCTAGGTAACTGATTCCACTTTTGGCCAGCACCTATTATTAAGAAACTTTTTCTTATGTTGAGCCTAAATCAGCCTCTTCTACCAGTTATTCTCAGTTCTGTCCACCTAAGGCTAAGCAAAACAAACCTAGTCCCCCTTCCTTGTAGAACAGTCTTTAAATGTTTTAGCAATTATCGTTGATAACTCTTGTCTTCTCTTGCCTGAATGATCCCAATTCATTCAACCAATCTTTCTCATAGAGCATGGCCTCCAGTTCCCTCACCTTCCTGGTTGTCCTTCCTTTGAAGGCTCTTCATATCATAAATGACCTTTCTAAATATGATGCCCAGAACCAAGCACATGACCCCAAATCTGGTCTGACCAAGACAGATCATAGTAGAACAGTCACCTCCCTTGTTCAGGTCTATGTCTTTGTTAATGACTTATAGCAGCAAAGTACTGAAGTGGATTAGATCAATAGAGTTGGAGTCAGTAAGACCTGAGTTCAAATCTGACCTCAGACTCTTACTAGTAGTGTGACCCTGGGCAAGTTTCTTAACCGCTGATTGCCTCATTTTCCTCAA